TACGCCGCTGCTCTACCACTTGAGCTATCGTGACCTCGATCCACTTGGACACCAACTTCCCATCTCAACCGCTCCTTTTGAATTTTCCCTCCTTTTTGCCATTTTTCAATTGGTCAAGCGGACCACGAAATTAGTGAATTTAGTTGTTACAACCGTTCAAAAATTGAATTTCTGTTCTTTCAGATCTTATCAATAATGGTTACATTGTAAATACGGATAAAGTTTTTCGTGGATCAGTTGAATCGTTGCAAAACTTTCAATATTATCATGAGTTTTGAGAAAAAATCGGAGGCATTTGAAAGGCAAAAAATTTGTGAATTTTTAGCAAAAATTTGTATTCCTTATTATTGTATTATTATTTTACAATTAATTAAGGTTTTTAGTTGAGATGAAAAAAAGTCAATGGCACGAGAGGGATTCGAACCCACGACCTTCGGCTAGATACGCCGCTGCTCTACCACCTGAGCTATCGTGACCTCGATCCACTTTGAGAATTTTTAGCAAAAATTTGTATTCCTTATTATTGTATTATTATTTTTTTTTTTGCGTTCGGAAAACGAATACCAACTTTGCTTTTTACAAAAATATACTTTTGCCTGCTTTGCTACGTTGCTTGGTCAAAAAATAATCATATAATTTATTTCAATAGAAGCTTGAATTTGGCAAATTCGGTTTAAAAATTGTTTTAGCAACAGACGAAAGTTCATATCTTTTTTGAACACCTGAATAAAAATTTGTGGAAAAAAATGGTGATACATTTAAAACGACTCTATCGATCTGTATGAATGTTTACAGAAATAGAGAAGACTGTAAACCACGCGTAATGGCACAAACCTCGCCTCTGTAAATAAATCAGAAACGTTGATAAAAACATAAAAGTTTGAGGGTTTTTGGACATTTCTTTCTTATCTTACTTATAATGGCATAAAAATGCAACCGTTTTTGACATTAGCTGAAAGAAGATAAAATCAACTTCCAAACGTTTTTATTACCGCTGAATGTGGATAGAATTCAGAAGAGATATAAATTTTTAAGTGTAAAACCGGTCATCGTGGAAAAAAAATTGCCCTAATCGAATCCAGTTTATTTTTTGTTTGCAATAAAATTTTAGGTTTAAAGGCTTTTCATTGTTTTTTTCAAATTTAAATTTTTTTGGCCTACTTTTGTAGAAGTGACTTTCGATTTTTGCGATCCTGCATATTTTTTTATTTATGTATTAGTTAAAAAAAAAAATCTGGCTGTATAATAAAGTTAAATTACTTAATTTCTTATTTTTAGGCTATTTTCAAGGGGTTAAAGATAGTTACAAATTGACGATGTACCATAAATAATATCAAAAGATTTTAAATACTCTCATAAAAGTAGTAAAAATTAATAGAAAATAAACTTTTCAACAACAGAAAAAAAATACAGACAACAAAACAGAAGAAAATAAGTGGTTACTTAATTGTTTCTTGTTTCCTAAGACCTATTTGCAAGAAAGAAGGAATACGAGCCTAATATGTTTCGATCTGGTATCAACAGCAAAATTTTCTTTAAAATTTGTAGCTTCCTCTTGACATTGTGCTTTTTAACTATTTATTTTAACTATATAAGGGGACTATGTTAACATTATTCTGTCGTTTTATCGTTATTAACAATTTCTGGGTCTTGCGTTTGTCGCTATTTTGTTCGTCATCAGAAACCGCATAGACGTAACATAATATGGCATAGTTATGACCTATAACCAAGAAGTATCTTGTATCTAGTTGACCTTAACTCACGTTATCCATAGAGGGAACTTTTTTTAATAAAATAAATCCCGACATCGCCGAATTGACTCGAATGTGATAAAAATATATTGAAACCTAGTAGAAATTTGATCGAAACAATAATTTAGTATAATTAAAAACGGGGATTTTTTTTCGCACGATCGGGTTTCTTTAGTCTCAATTGGCAGATTAAAAATAGCACGTTGGTTGAAAATATTTAAAAAACCAGTTTGGTTGTTACGATATTTTCGTTTAATAGGGGAAAGATTAATTGAATTAATTGAGTGAGGGCAGAGTCTCCTTTTAAGAGGATTATGTTAATCAATGTGAATTTACATAATTTTCATTTGGTTTGCCCTGCCTGTATTTTCTCCGTGGAATAGCCAGCTACAAATACACTATGTTCTTTCACTTGACAGGTTGTCCGATGTAATAGAATAGATAGGAGACGTGACGCCACTAGGGCAACAATATGTACGTTGATCCCACTGGGTAATTATTTTTATTATTTTTAATAGGGGAGGTTTGGTTTTCACCCGATATAATCTACCCTTACATCTACCGATTCTAACCAGGTATAGTCGCATATATAGTTAAAATAAATAGTTAAAAACACAAATGTCATGGGGAAGCTACAAATTTTAAGGAAAATTTTGCTGGTGATACCATATCGAAACATATTAGACTCGTATTCCTTCTTTCTTGCAAAAAGGTCCTAGGAAACAAGAAAAAATTAAGTAACTACTTATTTTCTTCTGTTTTGTTGTCTGTATTTTTTTCTGTTGTTGAAAAATTTATTTTCTATTAATTTTTACTATTTTTTGAGAGTATTTAAAATCTTTCGATGTTATTTATTGTACATCGTCAATTTGTAACTATCTTCTAAATTTGACGTGCTTGGTAGACTTTATTGTATATCCCATAAGGAATATTTATATATTCAATTGATATTTTAGTCAAAATCAATCTTTTCTCTGATTTTCAATTATCATTGACTCCGGGAAGAAGGTAGACATGGAAGGTTTTAAGACTAATTTCTATTTTTTAGGGGTTTTGTTTAAAAAAAAATGAAATTACAACTATGAAAAAGAAAATGATAATAATATTAATACATTCTCTTCACTCACTTTTGTTAAAAATATATCAAAAATAATAGAACTTTTAAAACTTATGGAGTTGATTACATAAGGTTTAGATGTAAACCTCAAAATAAAATGAATATTATGTTTACCGCAATAAAAATTCTAGAAAGATAACCAAAATATTGTAATTTGCTCAATTAATAGTGATGAATGTGATAAAATATGTCAGTCAAAAAAAAAAAAAATTGGAAACCAAGCAGTGATATAAAATATAAAAAATTAAACGGTTTTTTCCCAATGTATAAACTAGTCAAAACATATACACAATTTAAAAAACCCACACATTTAGAATTTTGAACATCACCTTTTAAAAAGACAAATCTTTGAATGAATATATATTACAAAATATAGTGAAAAAACTTGGATAACAGCCAAATTTCTCTATTACATTCTGATATAAAAAAAAACTTTAAATTCATAAAACATATTTTAAAATAACTTTTAAATAAAACAAAGTAATTAACAAATACATAAAAAAATCCAATATTTTAAATCTTGTCGCAAACTGTTAAAAGTAAAATTAAGACTTAAAAAACACTTCCTTAAAGTTTTTTTTTTAAATATAATTTGTAGTACATTACAACTGCCTTAAAGTAGGTATAGTTGTTATGTACTACAAATTATGAAAAAAAACTTTAAGGAAGTGTTTTTTAAGTCTTAATTTTACTTTAACAGTTTGCGACAAGATTTAAAGTATTGGATTTTTTTATCCAATCTATCCCTAACCATCCCTAACCTTCCTTAAAGTAAAATAAAAATTATAAATATCCAAAATAAATTAAAATAATTTTAAAAATTTATATTGTAATGTATACTTTATATACACCAACAATTAGATTCCCAAATAAATAAAAAATCGTTAACATAACTACGCATTACAAAAACAATAGCTAAACTTCTTTCATCTTGACCATGCCGCTTGTCGACAAGTAAACTGTTTTTTTTTTTTNTTTTTTTTTTTTTTTTTTTTTTTTTTTTTTTTTTTTTTTTTTTTTTTTTTTAATTTTACTTAAAAATAATAAGAAATTTTAAATAAATAAATAGTCATGTATTTTTTAAAACAAACTATACAGGGTGTCAGGCTTCTCGAGTCACATACTTTGCTACTGAATTTCACACCTGAATTGAAACAAAAAAGTTCCTATAAACTATAGGACAATTCTCAACTTTTCCGCTGATATAACGAAAAATGAATAGTTTAACGTACATTTATGAAAAAATCGTACATAGTTGAAAAAAGACATAAAATGTTGAATATCTACGATATGGTTGAGAAACGAACCATGGTTTTATAATAACATTTTGTCACTCTGGAGGTATGGAATTCACTGGTAAAATTTGTAAAGCTTGTAGCCTGACACCCTGAATATAATGAGTTTTTTTAAGGTATGCTTTGTAATAAAATGTAGTAAAATACTAGTATCCTTTGTTATACTTATGTCTTAAAAATATAGATTGTGATGGAGGGGTGTAAGTTTCCGAAGCGTCCAAATAAATGTTTAAATAAGTAGTGAATTTTCTTTGAAAGAACCCACACGTAATTTTTTTAACCCACAAATTATATTTATAGTGAAAGTGAATTAGACAGATCGTCTTAACCTTTATTTAAATATCGACCGGTCGGGTCCAGCGGGGTCTTAACCGGCGGTCGATCTCATCTTTTGATCTTAACGGGAAAAGGTGCCTAAAAGGATAAAAACAAGGGGAAAATAAATAAGGCAACCTTTTGTTTCGACATCCGTTTCACTTCCTGTGTAACGGGGCCGGCAAATGTCACTGAGGCAGGTCTCAAAGGTCTTTTTTCAATCCGGCTAAGGTCGCGTCATGGAACAGAAAGGCCATGGGTCACATTTTGCCAGGAGGTGACCCGCCGCCGGTCCGATTTACTACCTTGTCTACCGCGGATAAGCCGATCCTTCGGGCATTTTACTGCCCGATTCCTCTGGAGAAATTCATTATAATGCTCTTGCATTCTTAAAACGGCGCTTTTAAAAAGCCGGCACTTTCGTCGGGTCAGTAGAAAAGTTCAGATTCTATCTCTGTATTTCTTTATTGTGGAACATTAGTTATAAAACCAAATAATGACTCGTGTACTTTTTTCTTTCAGGTGAGTTGCAGATTCGCATGGAACCAAAAAATAACAGTAAGTTCAATATTTCAGTACTTGAAATAGAAATTATCCGTTCCGCAAGGCTTCTAATTAAAAAATCCGAGGCAGGTATGAAAAATGCCCTCTAATTTATCACCCGGGTCAGCATGCAGGTCGAGCGGTAAGGTATTGGTCAAAATAAATACAGGTTGTATTTCCATTCATCGAACCCTTAATGGAAGGACATACGTCTCTCCTGGATCTCCCTGACAGGGTCCACGCCCCTTCACGGAAGAGAAGCCGCACGGCCCCTTCTTTGTTTACGTCCAGAAGATCGTTCCATGAGAACTGACGATCATCCGCTTTGATTGGAGCTGATTCCGGCTGGATAATTACTGGAGGAAGTATTGTCGGCGGTTTCGCCCTGCGTTCACGGATCAGTGTGTTCTGATACCCTTGCAAACGTTGAAAATTCCCCGTGGCATTTAAGAATTTTCAAACCGTTCTTCTAAAAAAATAATTCATGTTTGGAATTCACAAGCAGAAAATCTCGAACGACCTCGACGTGATACGAGTTGACAAATTATTTCAAAAAAATACTAAGTTCTTTCCTCATAACGAAGATTGGATTTTTGACGACAAAAAATTTAAAATAGGCAAAAACGACGGAATTAAGAAACTAAAACAGAAATGTTAACATTTTTTCTTGAGGTCTGAAGGGCGATGAACCTTCAGCATGATCTTTCCCAATCCTGATTTACCTAGTCTCACTGATTTTGTCCGCTTTTTTCTGTATTTTACCATTTTAAAAATGACGCTTCTGATGCTTCTTCATTCTCATAATAATAATTTTTACTTGTAAAGATGTCCGTAACTATATTGAAGAAGGAAAAATTCTCCAAGGTAACTGGACAGGTATGACAACTTTCATGTTTATAATTTGTTAACTGTATGCAATTTTTCATAATGGTATTTAAAAAAAAATATTTCCGAATGACGGGGGGCTACTATTACTTCAGTCCAGTTAAGAAATTAGTTTGACAGATTTATTAACAGTATAAATAACTATTATGTTAGATCCAAAAATATTGCAGAAAAGTATAAAAAGAAAACCGCTTTGTTAGAATACAGTTTTTTAGAGAGTAAAAGCTTATAAAACATTTTTTTTTAATCAGATTAAAATACACAAAACTCACAATTGTTAATCTTCAAACTGTGCTAGAAAATTATGTTCTTTTGAATATAAGTAATGTACTTCTATCCCCCTTGAAAAATGGGAAAAAGGTGGGAAAATTCGAAAGGTAGGTTGAGATGGGGAGTTGGTGTCCGAGTGGATCGAAGTCACGATAACTCAAGTAGTTAGGGCGGTGGCGTATTGAGCCGAAGGTCGTGAGTTCGAATCCCGCTCGTGACTCTAACTTTTTCATTCCAACCAATACCTTACATAAAAGATTAATTATTTGAAAGAAGTAAAAATAATTTTGCCTGTTGGAATAAATCAACTAAATTAAATACAAAGACTGATTTTACATATTTACTGTTAATCATTATATGATCTGGACATGACGCGATGTCTGTGTAAGGAACAAATACTATTTCTAGCTTTTATAATTGTCAGTAAAAATCAGTTTATGCTTTCTCAAATCGTTATTTTCTACTTGCGCTTTCAAATTATTATTTGTTAAGGTTTTATTTCCGTGAATCCGAATTTTCAAAAAATGTTAAATGTAGTTTTTTAATGTTTCTCTATTCTCAAGACCGCCGCAGATAAGAATTATCTGACCCAGATACGATTCAGCCGCTCTTTATCTACCTGTGACCTGTCCTTTGTTTGCCTTTGTAACGCGCCTGTAAATAGGCGTGATCTCGCACTTAAAAAAAATAAAAAACGATGAAGAAGAGAAAAAACCAGAATATACGGCTGTTGACACTTTATCGCCATCGTCATTCCAGGTATTTATATTTCCGGCCAGAGATAATCGCGTTCAGGGCATCCCGCGGAATTGCACAACATCATTGAAATGTCTCGTCATTCGATGTGAACACTTAATAACTTTTATTTCGCAACGCTGATACGATTTTGGTCGATATCCTAGTGTAAAATGAGTTTCGAGAGCACCTGTCCGCTCAGCGACCTTTCAAAAAAAGGCATTAATCGGAAGCGAGTGAGCATAGCTCAAAAATTAGCATAATTGTGTGGACATCGGCAAGCTATTGCTACTGTTTAAAAAATTGCGCTCTTTTCGAAATCGCCTTCAATTTAACCATCGGCTTTGGTTTTTTCTTTTTTTTTCAAAAGCAGGACTATTTATGTTGACAGTAACCTGAACTTTGTACTGCGGGATTATAAAACTGTTCGTTTTACACCTAAAACGTGCACGAACTTAGATTTCCTTGTAGATAAGTTTAATGAACAACATGTTGGAGAATGCGACCCTTTTACATATTAACATCATGCATAAAATCTGGTACAAGAGATCAAGTAGTAAATTTACGATGAAGAAAATTAAACAACGTTCAAGTTATTAGGAGACCGACGAAAATATATATACAAGGTGTATCAACTTATTTAGACCATCCATTTAATCCGGAAACGATTGACTATAGTAAAATATTATCTTATACAAACCCCAAGTTAATTTTGGCCAGGAATCGCGTGGTGGTAATTTAACATAACTTTTTCATCTTGTTGGGAAATGACACAAACGTTGTTATTTTAAATAAGTCATATTTTAATTGTAAAATTCGATTTTAGAGCTTATTTTATGCCACTTTTACCGAAAGAAAAATTTTAATAGGATCGACCATTTTTTAGTTATACCCTACATAAACGCGTTAAGCCAGGGACACACTTACCCGATGCTACGCCATGCGACGCTACCCGATGCTACCCGACGCCTTGCCACGTTTTGGTGGGGTGTGCACATCTATCCGACGCAAGTACACGTCGCGTACAGTCCACAGCGTTTATCACAATAATCACTATCACAATCGCAACGCATCTTTTGTTCTTAATGCACTATTTTGAGCAAAACCTTGTAATAAATTGTTAGTTAAATTTTATGAGCATAACCATCTGATAAATTGTTTGTTAAACTTTATTGTTTTAAATAAAGTTACTCCTAACCATCTAATTAAATAATGTTTATCAAAACTTATGCATTTTTGATCTCGTTTAATTTGGTTTACATTAAAATAACATGTATTTAATGTAACGACAAAATTACTTGTACTTAGTTTGAAATAAACTACAAAAAATATGTTTTTTCTGTTCTGATGCTACCCGACATTAGAAAATGGTGAAATTTTCCGTGCAAAACTATGAAATAAATTGTTAATTAAATTTTATTAGCATAACCACCTAATAAATTGTTTGTTAAACTTAATTGTTTTAAATAAAGTTACTCCTAACCATCTAATTAAACAATGTTTATCAAAACTTATGCATTTTTGATCTCGTTTAATTTGGTTTACATTAAAATAACATGTTGTAATTAATATAACGACAAAATTACATGTACTTAGTTTGAAATACTACAAAAAATATGGGTGTCCTGTTCTGATGCTACCCGACATTACTATGAAATAAATTGTTAATTAAATTTTATGAGCAAAACCGTGTAATAAATTGTTCCAATTTTGGTATATGTACAGCCGAAGCGAGTAAAATAAATTGTTAGTTAAATTCATTATATCAAAAAATCGTATTCCGGTGTTTTGATTAATTTTCTACCAAACCAATAAAATTAATTTTTTAAATAAAAACTAATTAATTTTTAATCACGGTTAATTTGGTAGTTTGAATAAAAAAGAACAAGTAGTTTGAATAAAAATATGAGTGTCTGGTTCTTTTGTCTTCGACTGTACTCGATGCGACCCGACGAAAATCTGGACAGTGGGGATCGCAGAGCGTCGGGTAGGTTAGCGTGGCATAGCATCGGGGAGATGTGCACGGGGGTAATGCAACCTTATGGAAAATCGGAGTTTGGATTTGCGTCGGGTAGCGTCGCATCGGGTAAGTGTGTTTCTGGCTTAAGGGGTATGCTTTTTGTGACAAGTTGGTCCTCCCCGTTTATTTCGAAAACGATTAACATTGACAAGTTATATGTGGTGGTTAGTGACCGTTAATCGATAATCGTGAGATGCGGTCTGAGATCACGATTTCTGAATAATGATTGACAAATTAATTTAGGATAGGGGTCATAACATCAGGTATGTATCATGGGGTTACTGTTACCCTTAGATTATACTAATTTTTGAGAGAAAAAAGAACTCTTTTTTTACAAAAAAAGGATTTTTTATCATCTACTCCATTTTATTTTTAAAATCACTCTCGCCTGTTATTATGCATTGTTACAGATTGGACCATTTATGTTAATAATAAATGCTCAGATACCCTTCCTGCGCAAAAAGGCACAGTATAAAACATTTTAAATCCAAAACGGGGTGGGCCATCATGTTTCAAAAAGCATACCCCCTCACGGGTCTTCCGTCGAGCAAAACTCAGAATTGGTCGATCCTATCAAAATTTTCCTTTCAGTAAAAGTGGCACAAAATAAGTCTTAGAATCTAATTATACAACACAAATGTGGGATATTTATTTAAAATTACGAAGTTAGTGTCATTTCCTAGCTAGATGAGAAAGTAATGTTAAATCTGTTACCACCACACCTTTATACTCCTTTTTCAGCACTGAAGAAGACGCCGAACATAAACTCTTCAGCTGTATCAAATTCAATGCAGAAAGAGAACGTTTGCGAAAGTCCATCACCTCAGCAGAATGGCCGCCTAATCTCCAAAAGCTAGTCTGTGATATCAAATCATTTGGAGCACTAAAAGACTTTGCCTCAAATACGCTTAAATGAACAAGTCCCTATTTATTCTAATTATTAAGTCCTAAATATTGTTATTATTGTTAGAGTTTTATTACCGTTATTTATTTATTTATTGCATAATTAAACATAGGTTTAGGTTTAGGGTTCCGGGCTGTTTTCCTCTTCTTAGTAAGAAAATTTTAGATAATATAAATAGATAGAAAATAAAATCAAGGAAAA